AGATAAGGCATCCTTAAGAGTTTGGTCGGTTAGGGGAACGCTGATGATTACTTCCAACTGTTTTAGTCAATGGACTTTAAAGACTGAACATTAGTACATTTCACATGTGCTTGTAGATTTTTTTTTGTCAAAAAATGTATACCAAGTCAGTAGTATTTTATTTCCTTGGTATGTTGATTTTTGCCAATTTGAATAGCGACATTTTAGGTACATAACAAATAATGATAGATAGACAACGTCTCTCAAATCTGGTTACGTAAAATATAACACACATACATGGTTTATAACGTTTAATCCTTCTGTATGTATTGTAGTATAACACGAATTAATTAGTAAAACAAGATAACATAGTTATGAGAAAGCACATGGGAGTGGCAGATTCTCAAAGACAAACAAGATCGTATGCATGCATATTTGCTGATTCACCTCTGTGTGTGGGTAACATGTTCGAATCATTACGGTCAAAGCTCTTGTATTTTTAAATTTTACTTTCCTATAATAACTTTGCTTCATTTTATTTCTCCTCACTATATTAATCGTTCGGAACAAATGTTACTCTCAATCATCTGACCGAGTCAAATGTTAGGATCGAAATATATACATTTCTCCATTTCCATAATGGGCCATTTAAGAAAAAGACCCAACAAATAGTCATTATGCCTGTTAAGCAGGCTGGTTTAAAACTTGCACTAAATGGATTTATTTTTGAATGCTCAGGTAGTGGAAGGCCCGTTTCGTGACCACGATGACAGTTTACAAAGTTTACTATTTTGTCTATCTTCTAGAGTAAATGTTATATACTATATAGTTCTGTTGAATGTGGTTTATATATACTAATAGTACTTTATTAGCTATAAATTATAATTAGAAATCGAAATAACTAAGTGTTGGTTTAGTGTGTTATAAACATGTTTCCCGGTTAATCTGGAGTGAGTTTTGATTATTTGTACCAAACTTTAGTAAGGGAGCATTTCACTTTTACGAAAAAACAAGAATCAAGCGAGACTGTTCCAAATATTTAATATTTTCTATCTATTTAATTTATCCATACTAATACGTGTTATGTAAATATTGTAAATCATATTAAATATGAAATTATGACAGGTATTTATTGACTATTACTAATTAAATTATTTAGAGTGAAGGAACAGATCACTTGAAGCTGTGACAGAATTTAAGTGGCTTTCCTTTGCTTGCAGAAGTAAATGAAGTATAGCTTACGTAAAATAAATAAATAAGAATTTCAGTATTACAGAACAGTCCACTATATAAATAACGTGTATGATCCAATCATCCATCTCTCTATTATTATTTTTTGAAAAAATATTCCAGTATATCCCAATTGTTTCCTCTATCTATAAACAAATCCAACAACAAATAAACATCTCTCTTAGAAAATAATAATAATAATGCAACTGCAATTGCGCAAGTCCACTCCAATCATTTTCATAACAGACTCAGTCAAGCTGAAGCAACTGGTAAGAAACGGCCCTTACTAGTCTTGCGTCCACTAACCCCATTCCTCCCTTGAAAGTTGACTTTTTATCTAACCGAGTCAACGTTAAGAAATCACCACCGTGACTTGATCAGCCGGTAAGTTTAAGTCAAATCCACGGTGGCCGCCTATAGCGCTTTGTTCCGATGATCTTTCATCATCCACGTCGCTGACGTCACTACCACCGATGACTTCAACGCTGTTGCTGCTACTAGCTTTACCGTTCACGTTATTACCACCGTCATAGTGACACCGTTTGTGTCCACCTAAGGCTTGACCAGAGGAAAATGACTTGAAACAAATAGAACATGTATGAATCTTTCCACTCTGACTAACACCGTTACCGTTAATAACAACGGAACTGACGTTGCTGTTAATATGGATGATATTAGACGGCTCTTGGTGACTTGGAACGTCGATGTTATTCACTGGTTTCCGGTGACTGGTCTTGTGTCCACCTAAGGCTTGGTAAGAGGAAAACGACTTTCCACAGACCGTACACTTGTAACCACGGTGACTAGATGACGGCAGAGACGGCGGAGGAGGAGACTGGACGGCGGAGCCACGAGCGAGCATGAGTAGACAAAGAGCTAGATACTCTTCTTCTGAAGGAGTGGTTTCTTGATTGTGATGGTTCTGATCAAAACGTTGACGTTTGGTACGTTTTCTTTTAGCCCACTGCTCGAGATTCTCTGGCTCCATTTCTTCACGATACCGGAGAAAAGGCCGAGCGGTGGCGGTGGCTGAAGTAGGAGAATTGAGAGTCTCGAGAGCCATATATATATATGGTTATGAATTATGAGATGTGATCTTGAGGTATCTAAAGAAGAACAAGAAAGAGTGAAGTGTGTGATGTATTGTGAGCACGTCTTGTGTTTGTGTGTTGTGTATGTTTTCAGAGCTGGTTTGATTTATACATATTAATATTTAGAATTTGGGAGTTGAGAGTGGGAACGTGGGCTATGAGTGATCAAGTGGTGCTGCTCTTGCTTTCTCCAATCCATTAATTTCTTAATAAAAATATAATATATTGTCATTATTTGGGGAATATTATACCAAGTCCATGCATTGTTTTTAGTTAGAAATCGCCAAACTTATTGGGAAGTTTCTTAGAATAGTATTAAGTTGAATTGTAGTAAAAGATTATTATTCAGCAATGTATATATTATGACCCTTTCGAGTAACCAGACTTGTTGTCATATACTCATAACCATCGATACCATAAATCGTGATAATGTAAAGAAAATATAATTAGAAACGAAATGAGGAAGACAGTCGCTCTTTAAATGGAGTACCATAGAGTTTTTTGAAGAAAAAAAAAAGATGAAGCTTTTGCCACTCGGAGTATAATCTCTTTTTACGTTTTGTATTATGTGGTGGGTGGCATTAGGCCGTTGCTTATCTGTTATTCTCTAATTAGTTAAAGAAGTCTAGATTCTTCTGGAGGCCAACGTGTCGTAATAGTAGTGGTGAGACTTTCCGGCTGGATAGTTAAAAGTCGGTACGAGACTTTATGCTCAGACTGCACGATGCTGACAGTTCGTTGCACCACCGTCAACACTATCTATGTTTGGTTGATCCTAAACTTCTATTGGTTACAACTTTCTTATACCTTTTTATCTATTTTTATCTTACAAAGAATACTAACACACTCGATGTTCTCAAGAGATGCATCATGCTTCATGCGTGTATATTACTATATTGGGATATAATTCATATGAGTTCTTATTGTGTGTGAAACTTGTCCACTAGACAGTGGTCACCAACAATTGGGCTACACTGACGATAATAATAAGAAAATTGAGTACTGGGTCTTAGTCTTCCTCTTGTTGCATTATAAAGTGGGGTCGTCGTTGCTCATAAGAGCTTTGTCTACTTAGTCAACTCAACTGCCAAAACCACTTCAACTAATCTAAAAGCTGTCGTTTTTGTTGAAGAGTATTTGGGAATTTTTCTATTGGATTTATTCTGGAAGCATATGGAAACAGTCTTATGAATATTCGCATAGCTAACAATTACAACAAAAAAAAAAAAAGAAGAGAAGTTAAATTTGTGATTGATTGGTAATAAGACTTACATGAACAACACAAGCCCCATCAACCAAAGACAGATAGGCAGAAGTAAGGTATAGTATTTGGAAATCTAAATATAAGGTATAGTGTCTTCAGAAGATATCAGAGTGGCGCAGCGGAAGCGTGGTGGGCCCATAACCCACAGGTCCCAGGATCGAAACCTGGCTCTGATAAAATTTTTTGTTTTCCTTTACGTAAAATAAGTTGGCTGAGTGATCTTGGGCTTAAGCGTAAAAGGTATTAAATTGATGGACTTACACTCAAGTTCTAGTACTGGAAGGCCTTAAATATAAGTCCAATGGACACTATGCCCGAAAGTAACTAAAACTAACATAAAATGAAATTGTCACCGCTCAACTTCGAACCGACGACCTTCAAACAATAGATTGGATAACTGGGTCTAGAGGGCGTTCGGATAGCCATTCGGATTTGGATGAAGTATTTCGGATTTTCTGAATATAGGAGTTTAATATCTATTCGGATATTTTTAGTTCGAGTTTGGTTATTTCGTAGCGGGTTTGGATATTTAGATTTTGAAAATTTAAATTATTTATTACTTATTTTTTTGTATTTAAAATATAAATTTTTAGTTGAGCTGATTTTTAATTTTTAAAGGATGATTAATAGGTTTGGAGACTAAAATTTAAAAACAGAAAACTAATTTAATTGTTGTTTTGGAATTTTAAATGTAATTTTTGTTAATACATTAAATAAGATATTGATATTCATTTTAAATGAATAGTAACTCACTTTGTCTGAAACTATATACATATATATATATATATATATATAATTTTAAGTCATATGTAACACTAGTATAAAATATTTTGAAAAAACTGAAGGAAGTAAACTAAAAATATATGGTTAAATATACATAAGTTATGTTATCTTCGGATATCCATTCGGGTTCAAACATTACTTGTTCGAGTTCGGATATCTAAGATCTCCTAATTCAATATCCGTTCAGTTCGAGTATTTCGGATTCGGATATGGATTCGGATATAGGATAAAGAGCCTTGGCCAGCTCTAACTGGGTCCCACGAAACCTCTTCTTTTGCGATGGCCACGTGAACGGCTGTGAGTGGTTTGTCACTAAAGAAAAAGCCACAGGCTGTTTGTTATTTAGAGTGAAGAAGGAAGAATATTCGTTATTTATTTCGTGAAAGTCGCATTTCATTTCTCGCTCTATCTTCTCACCGCTTCTCCTCCTCCAAATCGTCGCCGATCTCTCTGCATCTCCGATCAAACCATGAGCAAAGGTCCAGGTCTATTCGCTGACATCGGCAAGAAAGCCAAAGGTAACCTCACCGTATGAATCTTCCTATATCAATCTCGTCTCATCGTTTCGCTCCCGGTTTAAATCGCACGAATATGATTCTGCCTGTTCATTGATGCATAGTGCTGGTGTTTCGAATCTATCTATCCTTCGTATAAGCTGATTCCGTTGTTGATTTGATGTTTATCGTTGTTCGTGTGTTTAGATCTGTTGACGAGAGACTACAACACCGATCAGAAATTCAGCATCTCCACATACAGTGCATCCGGCGTGGTACGTGTTTCATATCGATGCAGTCTTTACTATTCTCATAGATTCGTGATTTCGATGCGTAGTTGGATCTATTGATTATCAACGAGTGATGTATCATTTTATAGCTGTGATATCGCTTCTGTGTTGTTTGCATTTAGCTTATGTTAGTATCAATTTCATTAGTTCTAGATTAGATCTCTGGTAACTTTATCAAGGATTCTGAGAGAGTATTTGGCTTTGGATACAAAATTTTATACCATTCTTCTGTATGGTTCGTAGAAGCGAGTTATTGCGTGTAGGCCTGGGCGTTTTTACCCCAGCCCGAAATACCGACCTAAACCCGAACCGAAAAAGCTGAACCCGAATCCAAACCATTATACAAAACTAACCGAACGGGACTTATGAACCTAGTACTTCGGACTTTGGGTATAACCCGAACCGAACCAAAATCCGAAGTAGAATCCGAAGGTATCCGAAATTAGTTAAATATGTTAATATTTTTATATATGTTAAGGTGATTTAGATAGTTTATAATATTCTAAATATTTTCATAGTCTATGTTATATGTTATTATGAATATATTTTAGCTAATTTAGATAGTTTAACTAATTTTTAATTATACTTGTGAATAATTTACATATTTTGAATATTATTTTGTCAATTTTTACGTTTTGAAAAAAAAAATTTTGGACGATTTCAGACATTGGGTATAATCTGATCCGAACCGAATCAACCGAAACCGAATCAGATCTGATTATTAGCAAAAACAGAATGGTACTTATGAGCACAGTACCGAAAATCCGAAAATTCGAATCAACCGAACCAAAACCTATTGGCCACCGAACACTCAGGCCTAATTGCGTGTGTGATAGTAGCTGTTAGCTAATAGCATTTTTGTTGCTTGACATTTCTGATTTTTTTTTGGAAACTAATATAGCAGCTTAACTCCGTTATTGTCTCTGCGTTGTTGTTTAGGCACTTACGTCCACTGCTCTGAAGAAAGGAGGAGTGCATGCTGCTGATGTTACCTCCCAATACAAGTACAAGAATGCTGTCTTCGATATCAAAGTCGACACTGATTCTACTGTAAGTCGTTTTACTATATCCATTGAGCATATGTTTCACACCTAATATTTGTTTTTTACTTTGCCAGATTTTGACAACAGTCACTTTCACCGAGATTCTCCCATCGACCAAAGCCATTGCCTCCTTCAAAGTCCCTGACAACAGCTCTGGCAAGGTTTTAAAGTCATAACCTTCTTTTTCTGTATGCCTTTCAATGGTTTTGAGCTTAACTTGATCATCTTTTGAATTCCATTAACAGCTCGAGGTTCAATACTTCCACGACCACGCAACAGTTACCGCTGCGGCAGCTTTGAAGCAGAACCCTTTGATCGACATAACAGCCACTCTAGGAACACCAGTCATCTCATTCGGTGCTGAAGCTGGATACGACACATCTTCCAAGACTTTCACCAAGTACAACGCAGGAATCAGTGTCACCAAGCCAGATGCGTGCGCGTCCATAATATTGTAAGAAAGAATCTCAATTTCTCAGATAAAAGTGTGATCTCTAGCTTTTCTGATCTGGATTTTTTTAACAGGGGAGACAAAGGAGGCTCGATCAAAGCATCTTACCTCCACCACCTTGACGAATCTAAGAGAAGCGCAGCAGTTGGTGAGGTTTACAGGAAGTTCTCGACTAATGAGAACACGATAACTGTTGGTGGGTTATACGCGATTGATCATTTGACTACAGTGAAAGCTAAGCTGAACAACAATGGCAAACTCGGTGCTCTGCTTCAGCACGAGGTTGCGCCTAAATCACTTGTGACTGTTTCCAGTGAGGTCGACACTAAGGCCTTAGACAAGCATCCAAGGTTTGGTATTTCGCTTGCTCTCAAGCCATGAGGCTCCGAATCTTTCTCGTGTTCTCCCAGTTGTTGAATTCTATGGCAAAGGATCCAAGAGTTTGAGGTTATTTTTTTTTTGGGAATAAATAGTTCCGCAGTGACAATTGACGGATACATTCTTTTTCGGATATGTTTGTTTTTCTTACATTTTTTTTTTCTCTAAGCAATATTCTTGGTACGTTTTATTTTACCAGTTTGGGTCCATTACCAAAACAAGAAATGATTTCAAGTCATCATTAGATAGATTTTGCTTAGATTATAAATTAAACCATGAACTTGCTGATGAACATGAGGAGGATGTACTTGTAAGTGATCAGATGGAACTTGTAGATCAATGCTATATTTCCTGGTGTAGCGTGAGATAAGATGAGCCACGAGGAAGATACAATAAGTGGTGGTGGTGATTAATTATTCAGTGTAATAATCCCTGTTATATAACTATCATTAATTAGTAATTGTCTTTTTTTTTGTTATGGTGTCTTTTGTTATCTTTTCAAAGTTATGTACTACATGCATATGATATGTGGCTTCTTGAGTTGAGTAGTTGAGTCACACTGCTTATTACATACAAAATAAAACTTAAATCCTCTTCAATAATGAAAAAAAATGGAAACAAACGTATGACAAAGACTTGTTTTGTCACACTTTATTACATACAAATGTCTGATATAGTGTCATACATACTTACAATTCTTCAAATATTCTATGTATCTCCTGTTTTTCATGAAAAGAAAAAAGTAAATACAAAAAAAAAACAATGCATATACACACTCACCAGTCATCACTATATAGTCACTTGTTGTACTTCTCCAGAAGTTGGATAAATCGAAAACCTAGCAAAACTCTTTCCTTTCTCTTGGAATGCTTTAGCGAGGAAGAGCAACACCACAACCTTCATGATTAAAGAGAGCGCAAGCATGCATGCCCAGAGACGATACATTGAAGCCCTAAAGGGTTTACACTGGTTAGAGACAATGCTAGATAACGTGTCTTTCACGTGAAGGCATTGAGTTAGGTTTTGAAGAGAAGGTAATATGTCAAGCATCCCTTGAGCTGAGTTGCTGTAAGCATAGACTCTTAGGTAAGCTGCTTCCGGGATGAACTTCCCGGTAATTTTGCAGGTTTCTGGTGGAACATTGTCGTGGCATGTGAATCTCGAAAGAACCTAAGAACACAAAAATATATTTTATCAACACAAACCTAATTGATTTGGCTATATAAATTAATGACTTACATTTGGGAACTGGCCTATTGGAATGGCGCCATTGGAGCAGCGTTGTGGTGTGTAGCTGTTAATCTGTTGTCCAGCAAATGGATCACATACTAGTCCAGATTTTGGCGCCAACGATGCAGTGTTACTCCGACCAGTTAACGCATAATCTGCTACTTTTGTGTTTAACTAAAAGAAAAGACAAAAAATTGAATTAAAGAATATTGGATTTAAGATTTTTACCATCCTTAATAGCTTAATTATATACCTCGGTGATGAAGTTACGGATCATTGAGCTGACTTCTATTAGCGTTGTATCAGAGTGAAGAGGATCCATGCAAGGTGAAAGATTTGTCAATGTATTGTTTTGTGGGTTCTGCACAAAGTCACTGAAAGCTGAACAAAGGTCTCCTGCGAATCTGCGTTGAGTGTGAATTGAGGAGTCAGGGTTTAGTAACAACTTGAGATTATTCTTTTAGCGTTTTGATTGAGCTTACGTGTGAAGGAAGTAATCAAATCCAGTTAGAACCCAAGAAAGAGTGGTTAAGATCCAACACAAGAATATCACCCTTTATATAAACAACAAAAAAAGAAAGAGAAACATGAATAATAAATCTTTACAAAACTTAACAAGAAAAAAATGTTTAATAGATCTTAATTGCTTACATGATGAACCCAGGATGCCAATGAAGCAAGATAGGAACTGATATAGACAGAAAAAAATTATTAGGCCTTTAAAAAATGATAAAGTTGTCAAAACTTTGATTAATTTACTGTTAAATGATATTACCAAAGGCCAGAAGCAGAACAAACAAGTTAGTGGATGCAATCATAAGATGAGTTACATACCTGAAAAACAAAAACAAAAACAATGTTGGAATTTTTATTTATTTATTTATTTTTAAATGTTTGGAATTTATTGCAGAAAAGATCAAGAAACAAAAACAAAAAAAAACAAGAGAAGAAGCTAGCTTACGAGATGTTTATGGCGAGATCAATGGTTGGACCATTAGTGTGAACAAAGCTTTGAATAAGCAGAGATCCTCTTCTGAGTCGATGACTAGTGACATTAAGAAGATGAGTCGTTTTCTGATCATACGGAAGCAGCAAGTACTGTATCCTCGTTAGCGATGTTATCACAGTACGTATGTTTTTGTCAAGATCTTCTCCTGCTTTGTCTATAGTTTCTTTCATCTCCTCTGTTCTGTTCCTCGAGCTCTGGTTCGCTGCTATAACTATCCCTGACGCTGCCCTATTTCCATTTTTTTCATTTATTATTCTATATCAAACATTTTTTTTATAAACTATACTCATTCTGTTTCATTATAAGTGTTATATTAGAAATGTGCATACGGATTAAGAAAATAATTATTTTGTATATTTTCTATATAAAAACACAATTATCTATACACCTAAACACATTTAATAAATTTTGCATTGAAAACCGAAAACGACATTTCTGTTGTAACGAAAATATTTATTTACAATAATATATATGAAATGGAAGGAGTATTAAAAGCTTACATGATTGTGCATTAAAAGCTTACATGGAGAGAAACATGAAGAGGAGGAGAAGTAAGAAGAGAGGAAGATAGTAACGGTCCAGCTTCGGACAGCGAGTGGAAGAAACGCGTCTTCTTTTGTCAAAGAAAGTTACGTAAAGTGCGAAACATACACCTGCGATAAGTAACACTCCGGCGACGACGTAACCGTGTATTCCCGTAAATGCTGTAGCCTAATCTTTTGCATTAACATGTTAATAAATCACCATATTAACGTAAAATGCTAGTCACAAAAATGATGAGGAGAAGAAGAAGAAGAGACTCACTGCCCAATAATGTTTGTCTCTAACGTCAAAACTTCCGTTGTAATACGTAAAGCTGTTAAGAGGATCACGTCTTTTAAACCTCTCATGATCTCCACCGTCTGATAAGGTGGGAACAACTAAAATGGCCGTTAAAAAGAGATGAGACAGAACTCCGATGTTTCTTGGTTTTGTCATGGTGAAGAAGTTGATGATCGAAAATCATGTTACTTTGCATAAAAAAGGAGATTTATGAGAGACTATATCTAATATTCTTATTCTGCCTTTTCTTGTTCGTGTGTTTTGGCTTACTTAGTAAGGTAAGGATAGCTTGTGGCTAGATTGTTCTTACAAAGTTTTGTTTTTTTTTTTTTTTATTGAAGAAAGGAGAGTGATTATAGAGTAACGTATCTGGAGGCGTTTTCCTTGGGTTTTTATTTGACTCTCTCTTTGTTTCTTTCTTTCTGATAATTAGTTTACTTTTTTTTTTTTACTAGAAAGGACAAAATCAAAATATACGTTTTAATTTACATGTTACTAAAGTATAAGTAAGTTGTATATATGAGCTAGGACCAACTATGTATCCTTCACATTTGAAATAGTGTTTGATATATTATGCTCTTGCTCACATGACATTTTTTTCAGTGGAAGATGATTAACAATATAGATACAAGTAACTGCACTTAACCAAAATTCAGAAAACAACCAAAATTCAAGCCTGGAGCTCTGTCTAAAGAAGCCCTAACCGAGGAAATGTAAGTCTTTTTTAAACCTAAAAAACAAGAAAAAAGACTTGGATTCTGAAGATGTTTTTCTCCATTGTTTTGCACAGGGAGCTCAAGTCGCTTACGGATAGAGAAGTTTGTTGCTTCATGATATCTTGCAAGAACTCTACCAACATTGATCAAGTGATTGATTGGCTTGTTAAGCACTCCAAGTCAGCAAGCTAAAGCTAAACAGGTCTCTCTGCAAGCTCTTCATCTTTGTGAAAGACACAAGATTTGTCTTTGTTTTGCTGTTCTCTGTACATTAGATTTTTGATTGGTTTTCTTCTTAATTAATGAGATTCACCTTCCTTCAGAGCTATCTATCAGTTTTATGAGTTCATTGCATAATGTGAAAGAATTAAAAAAAAAAATAAGCAGATCATCTACATACAGAAAATAAGCAGACTCAGGTTTTACAGAATCTCAGAGTTATTAACATACATAAGCGGATTTACTACTGCCCAAAAAGAGAGTACACATAGGTAATGAAAGCTATTGAGTTCTGCAGGTGATGAGATATCACATGATTCAAGACTATAAGAAACCGGTAATGGTTTGAATGTATATATAAAGGGATAGCTCTGTTATAGAACTTACCCATAGTGGCTTCTTTCTTCTCTTTTGTGTTTTTACCAAGTATGATTACTGATCCTGAACTTCAAAGCTTTCACGGCTGCTTTAGCATATATTTGAGCAGCTTCAGCTTCGGCTTCTGCTCTATCCGCCTCTTTTGCTGCTTCTTCAGCCTCTGTGATTGCAAACTCTGCCTCTGCAACTGCTCTTGCAGCAGTTTCTGCAGCTTCTTGTGCTGTCATGCCTTTTATCATAAATAACTCTCCCTCTGATCTTGACTGTGTGAGAATGTTGGCGCCGTTCCCGTTGGGTTTTGGTGAGTCGTTTTTGTCGTTTCCTTCTACACAGAGTTGAGGAGACTTGTGTCTTGCTCCTGCGCTAGTATAATTAGTAGAAAATCTGTACTTGTGCTTTATCTGAAAGTGAGAACAAGAGCAAGTAAGCACTTGAAAATGCTGAGAGTATTATAATGAAGTGTTTGTGTATTCATGTGTTTACCTTGACTAATGGTCCATTTGATGATAAATGCTTCAATCTTACAGCCACATGTCTTTTCATATTCCCCGGAGTCTTGAAATTCTCCTGAAATTTTACAGTACTAAGAGGCCAGCAAGCCTCAAACTGAAACAGAGAATCCTAATATGCTAGAGCATTACCTCTATATACATAAAGATGGATGTTCTGTCAGAACCACGTGGTTCCTTCAAGTTAGTAATTGCCTCCAAGATGATCTTGTCCAAACTACAAGAACAGGCAAAAATAGCTCAACATCAAATGTTTTATCAACTTAGAAAAAAAAAGATTATTATGTGGTTGCATGAAACCTTGTAATTGATTTCTTTGAAGGATGAGTTGGATTAGTCCGTTGTTCTTGGTCATTAGCTAAACGAACAATGGTAAGAGCTCTAGTGTTGTTATCATCCTGTTTAGGAGCCCTTTTAAGTGCAAGTTTAGCTTTCTTCCTTGAACCCCATAAGGCAGTCACACTTATGTTTCTCCACTTGTCCTGTTAAGCTTTTGAAATATCAAAAAGACTAATCCTAAACACACAAACTCAAACAAAGAAGATATCTTTATCCAAAACCCATCAAAGGTTATATACCTTGAGATCGACATTAGAGCGGGACTTGAGAAGAGAACTAAACTGAGGATCGGAGAGAATAGTACGCCACTTGCCAGTGCCATGTTTAAGCACTCCAGCTTTTAGGGCTGCTTCTTCTTCTGGTGTCCACTTCTGCTTTGGGGCACCCATCCAACAACTTCTCAAGAAACCAAAAGTTTAAATTTTTCTCTCTTTTTTTTTTAGTCTGCAAAGAGATGAAAACACCACACAAAACTAAGAAGCTAAACAGTTTAATGTTGTGTTACTTATCCACAAAGATCTAAGCTTTCAAATTTAAACAAGCCAAAACATTCAGATGCAAATCACAAATCAACAAATAAACAAGTGTTTCAAAAGATTCCTAACCAAAAAAAAAAGATCAAATCCCCTGTTTTTTTCCAGTGAATTCACCAACAAATTCAATAATTCATCAACAACTTCGGAAAATCAACATGAATATGGAAATTACACGCCGGAAATGATACGTCAACTCACGCAATACGAAAGTGAATACTAAACCAAAATCTAAATGCGATGATCTGAGACAACCCAAAGCAAAAAAAAAAAGAAAAAGAAAAACAGAGGAAGAGAAGAAGCATATGCCAAATCAAAGGGAGAGAAAGGAGAGTTCTTGAGGGAGAAGCTTGACAAAGAAAGGTGATTCCTTGAGTAGAAGTTGTGTCATGGATCAAAAATGTGAATCTTACAAAATGAAAGAAGAGAGCAGCCACAGAGGATGAATATCCATAGAAATGGAAAGAAAGCTTTCTTTTGTATACAAAATGAAGTCCTTTTATTTCTCAATATTCACCAATTTTGCCTCAAGTTATATAATTTACATATAAGAACCATTTTATCTCAACTAATTTGAATGTTGGATAAATCTTTTTTCATAAAGTGTCAATGAGTGTGTATAAGTATCAACCAAAATTCAGTATTCATATATTGTACAGTGATCAGTGATCGAGAGCTTGTGGTCAAATGGTATAAATGGTAAGGAAAATGATTTGGGGTATCACTACATTTTCAAATTTGATCCATTTAATCATATTATTTTGGTTATTTTACACTGATATGATATTGTTTATTATTTTTGATCCATTTGAATATCCGGAAGAGAATCTAATCTATCTATAAATTACATCTTCCATCCGAAATTTAGGTCTGGTTTAACCTTTTAAATTTTAAGAAAAGAAAATATATTATGCAATGGTTTTTTTGTTGCCGGTAAATTTTAACCTTCTAATGTTATAAAGAAAATAAAGAAGGCATTAGGTGAAGGCAAAATTAGGTGGGTTGGGGTTTCAATGATATCAAAAAAAAAAAATTAGGGGAATTTTAGATATTTATAAGATTGATAGGAAATTTATAAATTGTTTGATGGCTGAATTGAAAATTCCCCCTGTTTTAAAACTTTTCACATTTCACCAGTTTCATAAAATCAACAAGCTTCCAGATATCTCCATCCATTTGAGTGACGATGGCGCTTCGTGCTACTCATCATCAAGGAACTATCCGTTTCGCAACGACGCTACTACGTCGTATCGCTCGACCTCTCTCAACTGACGCGGTGGTTGAGTCGGAGTACAAGCGTGGGGAGATCGGTAAAGTCTCCGGAATACCAGAGGAGCATCTTTCCCGCAAGGTAAGAGCTAAAAATCATTTTATATATTTATTTCTTCCTTCTTATAAATTGAATTTAAGAATTAGATTTACTTATATGAATTGATCATGATCGAAAGATTCTGCCTTTGTCGAAAAAAATGAGCTAGATATAAAGATTATGTCTTGTCCTAGAAATTGATTTTTGATCAATCAAAGATTCTGTCTTGTCCTAGAAATTGATTTTTGATTAATCAAAGATTCTGTCTTTGTCTGAAAAATGAGCTAGATAGAAGATTAAGTCTTGTCGGAGAAATTGAGCTAGATAGAAAGATTAAGTTTTTGTCCTAGAACTTGATTTTTGATCAATCAATATATGTGGAATTTTGTAGGTGATAATATACTCACCAGCAAGAACAGCTACACAGCAAGGATCTGGCAAACTTGGCAAATGGAAGATTAATTTCGTCTCCACTCTTAAGTATTCTCACCTTATTTCATCATTTGTTTATTCAGGCCAAATAGTTTCTTCTGGTATGATCAGTTATTTTGATATGTTGTTGTTTTGTTAGGTGGGAGAATCCATTGATGGGATGGACTTCTACTGGTGACCCTTATGCCAATGTTGGTGACTCTGCTCTTTCTTTTGATTCTGAGGATGCTGCAAAATCATTTGCTCAGCGTCATGGCTGGGACTATGTGGTATACTTCTTCTTTCCTTCTTTATTTATTAGCATTTTCCTTTTCTAAGAGGAGCCCTTGATAAGATAAACAATAACATGTGACTCATGGCAGGTCAAGAAGCCCAAAACGCCCTTGTTGAAGGTTAGTATCTAATCCTTTAGCTAATCCCACTTGTTTTAGCCGAAGCTGGAGATTGAATGTCTTCAGTTAATGTGTCTGTTCAGTTCAAAGTAACCATTTGAAGGTTAAAAGACTTTGATTATTTATATCTCTAGTTTAGGAGTAATGCTATTTAGGGTCTTGCTTGAACGTAAACTTGTGTTGTGTAATCAAAGCTAGTTTGCTGCGTTAGACATAAAACGGTTTCTGGTTGTTGATTTGTTTGTTAACTCATCATCAAGTGAATCCATAATATGATGAGACATGTTACTTTCTCTCTCTGTTTCATTCTTGAGTTTGAAGTTTTCACCTAACCTTATGATGGTTGTTCTCATCTAACCATTACTGCAGCCTAAGTCTTACTCGGACAACTTCAAATGGAAAGGCAATCCTCAGCCAGATAAGTGATCTTCTTACACCATCTTCTTCTGGAGAGATACCCCATTTGATAAATAATAAAGAAGCTCTCATGGTTTCTTGCTTGTTTTAGCATGTGTGCTTTTCTCTGAATCTATTGTCTATGGTTGGATTCTTTTTGTATGTTTCCTTATCATAACAATAATAAGATGATGTTGATGATAAAACACTCTTACGATGTTTCATCAAGCTTTTTGATCACTTTACTCGTCTACTTCTCAATAGTTATGATTATCAAACTGTGATGTATATGTAAACAGAGCACAACATCTCAATATTATCTTGGATTAACTAAATTAAACAATTAAATAATAAAAGATGGGATCAAGAACACACCATCCTTCGAGCATATCGACTTAAGTGGATTATTAATGAAGCTGAAAATGAGGAGCCGTTAATGAGCATCCGTCTGTTTAAAACCGCTTAAAATATCATTTAGTTAGTTGGCCGGTGGTTTACGTCTAGCATCTTATTATGAAACCTTATGATTGCATGTATAGAAAACTTTATGACATTACGTAAAAGAACTTATGATAACTCTCCTTCGAGAATACTCAAAATCTCAAAATATTTAAAACGTTAAAGTTGTTGAAAATATTTATTGAGACCGGATCTTCATTAAAAGCATCTAGTATGATTATAACATCGCTTTACATAATAACTTTTCAATGTTGTCGGATAGTGCTTTAAGAATATCTACGCTTTTTCAAGAGTTCTCTCATGAAGATCCAAACTCCGGAATGCTATGTAAAGCTGGCCTCCATCCACCACCACCACATCTTCCTCCGCCGTGACCACGCCTCTTTAACCCTTCTCCACCGTCTTCTCCAGCGACCTATAAAAAAAAACGGTCGAGTTAAATCAAGTAAGTATCAGTAGAGACAAGAATAGTTTAGCATGTCTTAAGACCAAATCTAGGCATGTGAAAGATGTGTATTTGCATATAAATGTTCATGAGATCCGTAAAAGTTTCACTAAAATATTGTATGATTAGATTTATAACTATAATATTTAATTAAACATATTTCAAATATTCTACATGATCATTCAAAAAAAAAAGAATACTACTTGACCTTATACTACTTTTGTACAATTACTAGTGATCAAAAAGTCAGAGCATGGTAGAGCAATGGACATGTGAGTGTGACTTACTGTATCATTAGCCCCATCTTCTTTCGGATTCGAATCCGGTTTCGGGTTGACCCGACCCTTTTCCTGATCAGTCTTCTGTCTATGTTTCTTCTTGTTCTTCAACTCAAACCCTCCTCCTTCTTTCAAAATCTTCCCAAGCTTCACACATTTCTTCGTCGCAAACTCGTTCAAAACCTCTGCATATATATATTCATGAACAATTTTAATAAAAAAAAGATTTTGTTACGTATATGAAACACGAAAGACAGAAACATATACCTTCGAAGCTGACGAGGCGGTAAACATGACCGATGAGTAAACTGTCGTCAGGACGAAGGAGCTTGAGCTGCTTCAAAGGCGACCCTTTCTCGTTCTTTAACGTCGGTGACGTCACCACAACCGCAACGTAATGACCAGGATTGGATCTCATGACGTCGCTTGCTGTCACCGACCAGTAAATCCTCTCCACCTTGTTCTCCGCCGGGTGGTGGATCAAAACCGTCGCTGCCTCTGCCGCTTGACAATTCCCCATTTTTCTTGATATTTTTACGTAGTTCCTTTTGTTGTGTTCTTGTCTGAAAATGAAGTATATAAAGAAGCGACAAGAGCGTTGTGTTGTGTTGTGTTTCAATAAATAGTGACGTCAAAAAAAAATTGTCCTTTAGAATTGTCAGGAAGTATATAAAAGAAAACATAGATAATTTGTATATTATTTGTTCAAAAAAAAAAATTATTTATATATTAATGATGTCGACGAATATTAAGCCAAAAGATTAATAAATAAAGAGGTTGGAGGGTGGTAGAAATATTTATTATATCTTGAATTCTAATGATAATGACAGATTATCTTATTTTCGTATGGGAGATTAATAAATGTTATTAAGGATCTTGCATATCGCAACAAGTGATTTGATTAATTCTCTTGAATTATTAAGTTTTTTTTTTTTTGCAAAAGTAAATTATTAAGTTGACCAGAGTTATATGGTAAACAATTCAAAACTAAAATTATTTGTAAATTTAATAATGAACCATGTTTCTTATCTTTTGCGAAATGATATTCTACAATTTTTATTTAATAGAGTGCATGTTTTGTGATTTTTGATAATTAATCTGAAATATTTATTGAATATTCATGTGAATGTGAACATTAGAAACTCAAATGTTATGAAACTTTCAGGTAATCATAGCATTTGAGTTTTGATTGACAATGCGGTCAATGTAACTGTAACCATCAAACGAAATGATAAGAAGATGGCCATTGCTTTAACTTAATCGTATACTCCACTATTTATGAGATGGTTTGGCTTTTTACGTTACTTAAAGTAGTTTCATTAATCCCCAAGTAAAACCGAATTTTGCAAATCTAGATATAGGAAATGCTGTTCCAGTTCTACGAAGGAAGCGTGTTGATTTGGAGTTAAGACGACAGTGAGACAGAGGTATGATGTAGCATAGTATTCATGATGAGTCAAATCATATAGTTTTTGACCGTTGGTTTCACATAGTTTTTGTTATAGAGCGTCGGATTATGAAACGATGCATCTATAATAATGCAGTATCAAACAGACACTGCAAGTCTGCAACTCTTTAATGTCTCTATTTTTCTATAGATTCTCCATTTTCTCTTTGGTAGAGACAACGGTTTGATAGGCTATCTCTAACCTAATACTAAAACACTAAATTAGTTTAATGTTCACGGTTAAACCTTTACAAGCTAATTCTAAAATCACATTATTTTAGTATAAAATTATAGTACCACACTAAATTTAAAATGTTACTACTTACACTACAAGAAAATATGAATAATGCTATCATAATATTTGTCACAATATATTTTTTTCCAATCACAAATTTTATACTGTGACCAATGTGCGACAAATTTTAAAAAGTCACAATGCAATTAACGTGTAACACAAATAGAACATAAATAGTTTTGCTTTGTGCCAGGCTTTTCGGTGATCACTGGTTCAAAATCTAAGTGCTTAAAAAGGGGAAAGAGCCATCATTTCACTTATCTACATGAGGAAATTAGGAGAAACATCACACTAGATTCAGAGTTACCTGCATATACTTTAGCTGATTATAGCTCAAAGCCTTGGTCTTGACGGCTTGTTAGATCCATCCTTAGATTATTCATTCATGGGCTGTGAACCAAACCCATTTTCTCATCTATTTTGTTTGGGCATTTTTCCTTTTTTTATACTGGGCTTTATCCAGGATTCAAATTATTGGTTGATAGTTAATGTTTTACACATTTATTATAAAATTATTAATTTTTATTCTTTTTTTACATGTAAATAACATTAAGTAAAGACATTTTAACCATCAAAATTATAATATAAACATAATTGGCCAAAATATCAAATAAATTTAAATTTTAGTGTAAATATATCAGTTAAATTGAAATAAAAATTTAAAATTTAAAATTTGAAACACCATTTAAAATGAAACAAAGGGAGTATGTTGTTATACTATGTGCTTATATCCACCCAAAAGTATTTTAGAATAACCCTACACAGCCTGTGCTTGTGGTTATTAATCATGTGTGTTAATATCGCAATCAAATCTCAAATTCACATGGGTTAGTCTTTATTGCAAACACGTCAAAACATATCACAATCAATCTCAAACTCAAATGGATTAGTCTTTACTCTTTATTGCAAAAACGTCAAATCAAGTTAAAACTCTTGCTGGTCCTTTTTAAGTTCACTAGCTTGACTGGAAAACACATTTAAAGAAATTAGAAACATCAACAACATCGGAATCTTTCGTTGCTTATTTAGTTGTGCTTTTTTATTTTAATCTTAATATAGTTGTGCTTTTGTTTTGTCTGTGTGTATCTATGACAAGTAGACTGAAATCGAGACCGTGCTATGTTATTATTCATTCGGTTCCCATCGTATTTATGTATAAATACATACAAAATACTTGATTTGAATTTTTATTATTTAAAATATTGTTTGAATAGCAAGCACTTGCATTCCTGGCACAGGGCTGAACTCCAACAAAAACAGCACATGGGCTCAGATCTATGCTGACACTCCCATCAATTTTCGCTTATTATTATTAAAACTATCTTCATTTAGTAATATTTTTAATGAAAACATTTAAACAATAGTAGTTTATCAGATATAATCAGTGAAAAAGAAACGTGGAAGGGTATAAGTGGTGAGAGACCAGTCAAATGCTAAATACAGAGACGGAGACACGATCGAGGCGTGGAGTCAAAGCAAACACTCTGTCTTTTGGTCAAAATATCTAGCTGGAGCTTTTGCATGTCTAGGGCCCCACAACCATATTTCTTTATATTTTTCCTTTTTCGTGCTTAATAATAGTTACTTTTTCCAGTAATTATATTCCACTCTCCTCTTACAAATACTATTTGATAAAGGCATTTATATGATTTCTTTCAATTCCTTATCAATACATAGAAAATGATAATGATACAAATAAAAAGTTGATTTGAGTTTAACTAGGCATTGTAATTATCGTCGCACGTGTTTATATCTGGTGGTAGGTGTTAGACTGGTTGCAGCTTTTTTGACTTCCGTGCAGAGTTTTTTTTCACTGCTCACATCATCTTCTTCACCAGTTTTACCCTAAACTTTTTTTTTCACATAATCAAAGCTTGTTTTGAATAATTTGTTCATATTCTGGTTAAAATCCATGGATAAAAACTTGAGCTTTGCACGTGTGGTGCACATGAGTCTGTGTATTTTTTTAGTTTTTCAAAAAGAAAAAAAAAAAGAGATTTCAACCCGAATCTTTAAGACAGAGAAAAAGAAAGTCTTTGGTCCAAATCAAAAGAAACATTTCCTCTTTATTTTTTCTTGTCTATTTACTTTTTTATAATTATTTTTTTTTTGCGTTCCTCACGAAACTCCAGACCAGATCTATTCTTCTTATCCTTCTCTCTTCCCATCTTCTTCGTGAGTTTTCTTCAGCTTCAACTTCACTTCCCCATTCACTCTCTCGATCCATAACAATGTTTCAACCCTTCAAAACCGGTGGCTTCGACGGCCACGTCATAGATCTACACACGGCGGTCAAAGACGGCGTCCTCGGCTGCGGCGGAGACACCAAAACCACTCTTGTCGAAACCAAATTAGATCTGAAAACGATGATAACAGAGCTTGAATTACCAGAAACACCCTCTGTTTTCATCTGTCCCATCTCTCTAGAGCCAATGCAAGATCCAGTCACACTCTGTACCGGTCAAACCTACGAGAGGTCAAACATCTTAAAATGGCTGAGCTTAGGACACCGCACTTGCCCCACCACGATGCAAGAGCTTTGGGACGATGTCGTCACGCCGAACAAGACGCTGCACCAGCTGATCCACACTTGGTTCTCTCAAAAGTATGTAATGATGAAGAAACGGTCGGAAGATGTCGCCGGGAGAGTGATTGAGATCGTTGGGGAGTTGAGAAAGGCTAAAGGGAAAAAGAAAGTTCATGCTTTAAACGAGCTTAAGGGAGTTGTGTTGGGTCATGAGATTGCTAAGAAGAGTGTTGTTGATGAAGGTGGAGTGTTTGTTATCTCTTCTCTTTTAACTCCTTTTACTTCTCACGCTGTTGGTTCAGAAGCTGTAGCGATTTTGGTTAATCTTGAGCTTGATTCCGTCTCTAAAGCGGGGTTGATGCAGCCCGCTAGGGTTTCGTTGATGGTTGACATGTTGAATGATGGTTCGATTGAGACTAAAATCAACTGTGTGAAGTTGATTGGGAAGTTAGTTGAGGAAGAAGGTTTTAGAGCAGAGCTTGTGTCTAGTCACAGTTTACTTGTCGGATTAATGAGATTGGTTAAAGATAGACGAAGAAGAAACGGTGTCTCAGCTGCTTTGACGTTACTTAAATCCATCTCGGTTCATAGACAAGTCAGAAGCTTGATGGTTAGTGTTGAAGCGGTTCCTCAGCTCGTTGATGTGTTGCCTTGTTTAGGACCAGAGTGTTTGGAATCAGCACTCTACGTGTTGGACTGTTTATGTTCAGATGAGGAAGGAGTGAAGGCGTTGAAAGATTCTGTTAACACGATTCCTAATACGGTTAGGGTGTTGATGAGAGTGTCTGAGACATGCACGGCTTACGCGGTTTCGATTCTTTGGTCGGTTTGCAGATTAGCGTCGAGAGAGTGTTCGTCTCTTGCGGTTGAACTTGGTTTGGCTGCGAAGCTTTTGCTTGTGATTCAAAGTGGGTGTGATCCGGCTTTGAAGCAGCGTTCTGCTGAGTTGTTGAAGTTGTGTAGTTTGAATTATTCGGATACCATGTTTATTTCTAAATGTAAACTTACACCAACGATTCAATAATGGGTTTTTGACAAGTTTATTTATCAACAAGTATATCAGATTAAATTCGTATTTGTACATTGGAGGGGAATTAAAAGTTTCTTTTTTTTTTAATTTGCATTGGTCTGGTTTCTTTCACTGTGTGTGTGGATGAATGATTGAAAAGAAAGGGATGATTTGACAAATCGTTTGTGCAACTGTTAACTGTTTGTTTGTCCAATAAAACACTTCTGTCACTGTTGTGTGTTTAGTCTTTTACTAACGTCTGCAGTTGCACAATTTTCTTTGATCATTGAGGCCAGTTCTCTCCAAGAAACAATTTTTCTTTTAAAGAAATTTCTTAAAATTGGGATAAATAAAAAATCTGTTTATATGTTCGCCTAGTCAATAATTCTCTACAAAATGCCTAGTTACTGGTTTAATGGTTAACGACTTCTTAAACATTGATTAAGACTAGTTAACCAACAAATACAAGCTAATTAGGGTATTTTTTAAAAAACTTAGTTTCCCGCTATACACTTGTCAAGTTTAGTTAATTACTTTTGTGTGTTTAACACCGAACCAGATCGATAATCAAGGCGAAATAACCATAAACCGAATGTACTGCCGAGTGAACTCAAAAGTTAGTTGGACCGACAAAGATGGGCTTTAGATGGGCCAATTACTAAAGGACATAAAATGATTGATTACTCGGTTCTTTCTTCGCCACGTGTGTTCTTACTCATCTCATGTTTTTCTTTTAGTTCCATCGCCAAACTGCTTAATCACGGTTCTTGTCTGAACTCTGAACAATGGCGATTCTCTCTGTACGATCTCCAAGTTCCATTCAGCTTATTCGTTCCTCTGTATCTCCTATGTGCTTGAAACCCTTGTTTCAATCATCATGTTCCATTGTTTCTGCTCCTTTCACCAGATTAAAATCCAATTCCCCGATCTCTAGACCTCGCGTTGTTCTCACGAGAGCTTCCACGGGAGTCGCTAGTCCCGTCACTGATTACAGAGAAGATATCGGAGAGATCCTTGGAGATGTCTCCATCTTTACTGCTTCAGGACAGCCCGTAAAGTTCAGCAATCTTTTGGATCAGAACTATGTAATATAGTTTTGTGCTAATGACTTGTTATCCAAGAAAACAAATATGAGGATTGCATATAACGAGGTTTTGTGCTTTTTTTAATACGCAGGGAGTTACTGCTGTTGTGCTTTTGAGACATTTCGGATGCGTTTGCTGGTAAACTTGATTGAATTACCTTTTAGGACAACACTTTGCCAAAATCTTTTTCTCAAATCACTGATGATCTTTTTGTGTGTATATATGAAAGTTGGGAGCTAGCTACTGCATTGAGAGAGGCGAAACCGCGGTTTGATGAGGCTGGTGTTAAACTGGTGGCTGTTGGTGTTGGAACTCCTGATAAGGCTCGTATACTTGCAACTCGGGTAAGCTCTCTAGTCTCTACTCTTTATTTATGCTTCTCTGTTTTCTTGGAATGTATTATGTATACACTGTCACTGTTCCTTAGTATTTATCTGGACAGATAAATGAGATTGAAAATAAGATAGCTTACTTACGTGCAATAAGCCAATAACAACAAGATTAGCTAGATTTAGATTCATATTGATGAAGAGAAAGCAACTGATTATTAGCAAACGAGATAATGAGTCTTAACAGTGTTTGTTTTCATTGTTTTAGTTACCTTTTCCAATGGAATGTCTTTACGCGGATCCTGAGCGCAAGGTAACACACAAATAAGACGAAAAATAATACAAAGCTACCTTGTTTCTTATAGACTATCTTTTGTGTGAAATGGTGTTTTTTTCTTTTCTTAACTATGCAGGCATATGATGTTCTTGGTTTGTACTATGGTTTAGGCCGCACTTTCTTCAACCCAGCTAGTGTATGAACGCCCTCAACATTTTTTACTGCTTGATTGTATAGTAGTACTTCATCTTTATTAATACATTAGCAACTTTATTTGATATATACAGAAAAAAGTCTTCTCAAGATTTGACGAGATACGAGAAGCTGCAAAGAATTACACCATAAAAGCCACTCCTGAAGACAGAAGCAGTGTGTTGCAACAGGTTTGGTTGAAGACACGCTTTTTAACAGATAAATTTGTCCGTTTGTTTTTCTTTTGTTTGATCATTTTCTATGTTTTCTTCTCAGGGAGGTACGTTTGTTTTTAGAGGCAAGAAGCTCTTGTATGGTCGAAAAGACGAAGGCACAGGAGATCATCCATCTCTAGATGATGTTCTCAATGTCTGCTGCCAAAGCCAAGCCACTGTTGCTTGAACATAATTGGACTAAAAGTCTCTCTGGTTTGGTTTAATGCTTAAATCACTGTATAAATTGTAGCTATTAATGTCTTCTTTAAACTTACTAAATACATGATCAACACCACAAGAGCAATATACCCGTGTAAAGATAAGACAAGAGTTTGGTATGTCATTGGAATCATATGTTTTTGTTGTCTTTTTCATGCTTTTGTAATTATTTGAAACTATGCGTTGCAGGTGAGTGAACTGTTAGCATCACATACATATAAACAAATTCTATTTATTTCAATCCTCACCAACAAAATAAAACATATACTTCAACATATCTACATTATTCTAAATAATTGAGATATCAATCTCCGTTCCAATAAGAACTCACATGATATAAATATAGCTCACTAAAAAACTCTTATATTTAATTATTTACATAGGAAAAGACAGAGAGACCTGTCGAACTATACTTTGAACGCTCTGATTAAAATAATACCGTAGTTAATACCCTCATAATACAGTCAAACAAATACAATTAAATTGCGAAAATGCGGTGTGACATGACCAAGCATGAAACCTTGGTCTATATCTGTAACACCCGCATTTTCCAAAATAATAAAATAAATAAAAATGTCTGAAATCTCCATTTATTAAATCGCATAAATCATCTCCAAACTCCATAAATCCAAATAACATAATAAATCTCAAAATAACGATAAAAATAAGTCTGAAAATAAATAAAATAAACTCCCAAAAGCACCAATCCGAAATGATCACTCCTGATCGTCAGTATCACCTGAAATGGGGGAAGAGANATCGCATAAATCATCTCCAAACTCCATAAATCCAAATAACATAATAAATCTCAAAATAACGATAAAAATAAGTCTGAAAATAAATAAAATAAACTCCCAAAAGCACCAATCCGAAATGATCACTCCTGATCGTCAGTATCACCTGAAATGGGGGAAGAGAGAGGAGTGAGTAACAGGGGAGTCACTCAGTGAGGTATGGAATGCTAACCACGCAAAACACAGACTTGAGTAAATAGAACTCCCACTATGGAAGTTCAGCTCTAACATGAACAATCAAGACACCTAAGGCATCACAAAGAACAAACAAATGCGCTGATAGTGCATAGCTAGACCACACACCACGCATCTCCATATATGGATATATATATATCATACGCTGCGTTGCTAGTACAGTATGTCTCTGTACCCCCGCCCTCCAAATCTGCGTCGAATGCAAACATCTCTGCACCGCGCACCACACAGTTGCGTCGCTAGCCCAGACGTCTCTGAGCCCCCGCCCTCCAAAGTTGCGTCGATAGTCCAGGCATCCCTGAACCCCCGCCCTCCCACATAGTCCCTACTCATAACTATGTATGTACATATATATATATATATATATCATCTCTTAACATCACACAATCCAATCAACGGTTGAATCCTCTAGACCCCTAGTTCCAATTTACAATGAATGAACTAACTAGCAATCAAGACTCAAACAGACTCAATTCACACAGACGGATCATGCTTCGAAATCTAAACTACGATAGGAAGAATTCTATACTGGTACGGGAGTTACGGATTAGACCCTCACCTTTGCCACGGGTTCTGAAGAAAACCTGAGAAAACACTGAATGCCTCTGATGGCTCTAAAAACAGCAACTCCGGAACTCTCTGGAAATAGATGAATGTGAAGATTCTGGCAGACCTGAACTCTAGATAAATCAGATGAATAACTCAAGAACTGACCGTTAGCTTTTCGATTCCTCCGGTCATAATATAGTCCTAGTCGTCCTCTGCCTGTAGCCACCGAATTTACACCGATCAGACACCGTTTGATTACTCAAAATAGCCTCGCCTCCAAGTTGGTCGCAAACGCAGACTGCACCAACACCTTTTACGAAAATAAGCATAACTCTCAGCAAATAATTCGAAATGACAATCCGCTTGTTGGAGATGATAGATAAAAGAACTAGTTACTTACTGAGAAATTTCCAGACTGAAATATTTCGTTTAGGTTGACCGTTTCACCTTTACGCTGAGACTGCTCGGAACTGCCTCTACAACACAACAGTTTAATTATTACCACGAAGAAACGTCAATAACTTTCTAACTGTACCTTTGTTTCACAATCGGAAAGATGATCTAGAAAGCTGGCATCGAGATCTTTCCAATGATATCTCGCTCGTTTCCTGGTTCATTCTGGATCAACGGGAAAATCCTGATGAAGATGACTGCTGGTAGATCCGATCTGCAGAAATAAGTCCCGAAGAAATAATCATAACTCTTAGATAAAAATTCCAAATGACGATCCGTTTTCTGATATACGTAGATCAACGAGTGTAGAACATAACCTCAAAATTTGGCTTCGAAATTCATAGATTTGATTGATCGTTCTTTTGTTCTCCCAAAACGTGTCTGCTGAACATTAATCTCTTTTTAAATAGGAAGAGTTTAGGGTTTCTGCCACACAACTGGGCCTAGCCGGGCCGAAATAACTGTACTGGGTTTTGGGTCGTTACAATTCTCCCCTACTTATAAGGAATTCGTCCTCGAATTCGATTCATAAACCCATTGTCCAATACCATCTTAAAACAACTCTGGATAATCTATCCTCATCTGAGTCTCGGTCTTCTCCTGAGTTTCCTCTCTCTTCCAACGTACCTTGCCGTTCCAAAATCTCAACTGGCTGAATAGATGCAGACATATTTTTACCGAGATTGCATGGTGGTGCTGCTGCAAAATGAGCTCTGGCTCTCTCACGACCTTCCTCAATACTGACACATGGAACACGCCATGAAAATCTAACAACTCAGCTGATAACTGCAATCTGTAAATCACTGCTCCAATCCGCTCTACAATGGGATATGGTCTCATATATCTCGGTTTAAGCTTCTTTAGCTTTTGAATCTTATGTCCTTCTTGAGATGTTCTTATTTTCAGGTATACTTGGTCGCCTATCTGTAACTCCAGATCCTTATGACACTTATTTGCATAACTTCTCTTACAACTATGGCCTTTCCAAAGCCAACTTTGAGTATGTCCATCTGATCTACCGTCTCTGGAACAACTAATGGTCTATCTCATGTCGCTCCCCCACTTTTTTCCAACAAGTGGTATACGATAATGCCTATCCAAAAAGAGTCTCATATCGTGCCTTGTCCATACTCGAATGAGCCTTATCCATACTCGAATGATAGTTTTCACTGTAGGCAAGCTGTAGTAAAGGTAGATGTTTCCCTAGCTTCTTTTCCACTGCAAGACGCAACCCTGTTCATATCCTTATAAGTCTGAATAATCCTCGCTGACTGACCATTAGCCGTGGGCGGTCGGGGCGTTACAAATTGTAACACCCGCATTTTCCAAAATAATAAAATAAATAAAAATGTCTGAAATCTCCATTTATTAAATCGCATAAATCATCTCCAAACTCCATAAATCCAAATAACATAATAAATCTTAAAATAAGGATAAAAATAAGTCTGAAAATAAATAAAATAAACTCCCAAAAGCACCAATCCGAAATGATCACTCCTGATCGTCAGTATCACCTGAAATGGGGGAACAGAGAGGAGTGAGTAACAGGGGAGTCACTCAGTGAGGTATGGGATGCTAACCACGCAAAACACAGACTTGAGTAAAATAGAACTCCCACTATGGAAGTTTAGCTCTAACATGAACAATCAAGACACCTAAGGCATCACAAAGAACAAACAAATGCGCTGATAGTGCATAGCTAGACCACACACCACGCATTTCCATATATGGATATATATCATACGCTGCGTCGCTAGTACAGTATGTCTCTGTACCCCCGCCCTCCAAATCTGCGTCGAATGCAAACGTCTCTGCACCGCGCACCACACAGTTGCGTCGCTAGCCCAGACGTCTCTGAGCCCCCGCCCTCCAAAGTTGCGTCGATAGTCCAGGCATCCCTGAACCCCCGCCCTCCCACANGGTACGGGAGTTACGGATTAGACCCTCACCTTTGCCACGGGTTCTGAAGAAAACCTGAGAAAACACTGAATGCCTCTGATGGCTCTAAAAACAGCAACTCCGGAACTCTCTGGAAATAGATGAATGTGAAGATTCTGGCAGACCTGAACTCTAGATAAATCAGATGAATAACTCAAGAACTGACCGTTAGCTTTTCGATCCCTCCGGTCATAATATAGTCCTAGTCGTCCTCTGCCTGTAGCCACCGAATTTACACCGATCAGACACCGTTTGATTACTCAAAATAGCCTCGCCTCCAAGTTGGTCGCAAACGCAGACTGCACCAACACCTTTTACGAAAATAAGCATAACTCTCAGCAAATAATTCGAAATGACAATCCGCTTGTTGGAGATGATAGATAAAAGAACTAGTTACTTACTGACAAATTTCCAGACTGAAATATTTCGTTTAGGTTGACCGTTTCACCTTTACGCTGAGACTGCTCGGAACTGCCTCTACAACACAACAGTTTAATTATTACCACGAAGAAACGTCAATAACTTTCTAACTGTACCTTTGTTTCACAATCGGAAAGATGATCTAGAAATCTGGCATCGAGATCTTTCCAATGATATCTCGCTCGTTTCCTGGTTCATTCTGGATCAACGGGAAAATCCTGATGAAGATGACTGCTGGTAGATCCGATCTGCAGAAATAAGTCCCGAAGAAATAATCATAACTCTTAGATAAAAATTCCAAATGACGATCCGTTTTCTGATATACGTAGATCAACGAGTGTAGAACATAACCTCAAAATTTGGCTTCGAAATTCATAGATTTGATTGATCGTTCTTTTGTTCTCCCAAAACGTGTCTGCTGAACATTAATCTCTTTTTAAATAGGAAGAGTTTAGGGTTTCTGCCACACAACTGGGCCTAGCCGGGCCGAAATAACTGTACTGGGTTTTGGGTCGTTACAATATCTCTATAAAACGTTTTTAAATTCTTAAAACGATGAACATACACAAAGCTTTTTGAAAGTGACTAACGTGTTATATACAAAAAATCGTACTTAAATTAAATATATACATCAAACTTTATAGTGCGCACACCCCGGAGCTCTTACTAACGTACGCATTAATACCCGCCCGAAAGACGATCACTCTCACAAGCAATTTTTTCTTTCTTTCCCGTCTCCTCTCTCTAATGCTGGCGAATCGCCACCGGTTTAGTTACCGGTTAATTTTAATTTCCCTCCTGACTTTCGAAACATCACGGCGTTTAGCTTCCGGAGACTCAAACGACGAGGCGTGTCTAACGAATCTCCACCAAACCTTAGAAGATCCATCGAACAACCTCCACAACTGGACGAAACCATTCTTCTCCAACCCCTGCCCCGGCTTCGAATCCAACCTCCACGGCGTCACCTGCAACAACGGCAGAGTCTACAAACTCACCCTAACAAACCTCTCCCTCCGCGGCACAATCTCCCCGTTCATCTCCAACTGCACAAACCTCCAATCGCTAGATCTCTCCTCCAACGCCGTCTCCGGCGAGATCCCGCCGCAGATCCAATCCCTCTCCAACCTCGCCGTTCTCAACCTCTCCTCAAACCGCCTCTCCGGCGAAATCTCGCCTAACCTCGCTCGCTGCTCGTTCCTCAACGTCATCGATCTACACCGTAACGGACTCTCCGGCTCCATCCCGCAGCAGCTCGGGACGCTCGCGAGGCTATCGGCGTTCGATGTATCGGATAACAAGTTGTCCGGTCAGATTCCGGGGAATCTAGCGATGCGTAACGGAAACTCGCCGAGGTTTAATGCGAGCTCGTTCGAGGGGAATAAGAAGTTGTATGGCTATCCGTTGGAGGAGATGAAGAGTAAGGGGTTGTCTGTGATGGCGATCGTTGGGATTGGGCTTGGCAGTGGAGTCGCGAGTTTGGTGATTAGTTTTACTGGGGTTTGTGTGTGGTTGAAGGTTACGGAGAAGAAGATGGAGGAGGAAGAAGGGAAGATTAGTCACTCCATGCCTGATTATTAATTACTTTTAGTGTGTTATTAATTTGTGGTTTAATTTTTTTCTCTTTTTTAACCTTAACAAACAAAATGAAAGATACAAAATAGGGAAGTTATAAATGCGAATTTACGGTTGATAATGCTCTTACTCATGTTTATTTTTGTTTATCTTTGGGAATTTATCCTAAAATAAATGTGATTTGTAATTGGGTATATATTAACAAAAAGGTCAAGACTGGTTTATGGTATACTGAGTATTGTTGTTTACTCTACTATGAAACTTTGATTTGTAAATTGTGCTTTTAATTTCACTAAACACATATTCCCTATATTCACAAAGAATGTCATTTTGATATTTTTTGCACAAATTAATAAATTTTTGTAATGCGTTATATTTTTATTAATAATATACATTAAACCAATAAAATTTTTAGAAATAAAAATGTTAAAATAATACTTATTTAGAAACATAGAGGATATTTATTTAGTTTTTATTTTATTATTGACAAAAACGAAAGATACATAATAAGGGATTTATAATGCATATTTACTCTTGATAATGCTCTACTCATGTTTAGTTATATTTATTTCTGTTCATCTTTTGGAATTTCTCCTTGTTTTAGCTAATTTTATCCTAGAAGAAATGTGATTTGTAAATAACAAAAAAGTCAAGACTGGTTTATGGTATACTGAGTATATGTTGTTTTACACTTGTTACTCTTTTTTTTTTTTTTTTTACTCTAATATGAATCTTTGATATGTAAATTGTAACTGGAGAGGGATTGGGTTGGGACCATTAAGAGACACTTGACATGTACTGCTTTGGATAAATGTTTAGTTCAGTGGATAGTCCAGTCAAAGAACCATCCGACATCATGACCTCACTGATCAAAAGGCAGAAATAGAATTTTCTATCCGTAACATTAGAACTCTGCATAAAGAATAAAAGTGGACCAGCTTGGGGGCCTTACAAGTTGAGGGCCGGCTCTACTCTTAGTAAAACGTTTGGAAGACCATTTTCAAAACTTCTCATGCATAAGCACGAATCAATCATCTAGTTACCTGCTTCATCGGTTCTTCATGGCTCCACATTACTTAATAAACCGCACGAGCACTGATAGAAGCCCACGTAATATCTGGTACAGGCCCAAACATACTTCGGAATCTTAAAAGTGTCGGCAGAAACGGCGAGAAGTCTATTAATGTTAGTTAAATGCGCAGAACAGAAACGACGGCGTATTAAGAGTAGCACACTCGCTTCTTCCTTTTCTTATGATGTGATACTTGACAAATAACACTACGAAGCTCTCCGCTACTAAAATTTCGAGAGAGAGCTACAAGAAGAAACGTTTTCACACACGAATCTTCTCGGATCTGAATCTCTGGATCCGAACATCTTTCATTCCAAATCGCTAATTAAAGGTATAACATACTCTTCCTTCATGGATTGTTTTCGTAGCGTGAGCTCCCTGTTCCCATGGATCTATTCATTGGTGATTTTATTGATATTATGTTACTGAAATGGTACAACGAAGCTGTTTTATTCGTCTGGTAATTTGCATTTGAGATTCAAGATACTCATTTTTTTCATGGATCTGTATTTTTAAATTGATTCCATATCCGAATGTGATGGATTAATGATTATTGTATAGCTAAAAGCTAAATCGTGTAGATTTAGATGATCTTAGCTCTGTAACCGCGTAGGCGTAGAGAGTGGCGTTTTACAGACTTTATTTGCCTAGAAAAGTTGTGGATTAATCTTTTTTGAATTTTTTTAATTTATTTAAGGTATAAAGAAAAGCTTTTGAGTCATGTCAAGAAGGCAAGTAGGTTCGACGAGGCGTGTGGGAGATAGTGGAAGCTTCCCATTTGTTGGAGCTTTGCACTCAAAGTCACGCTCCTCTCCTCTCTTCTCTCTTTGCCTTGTTCTCGTGGTATGATGAATGATCCTCTGCTTCCTTTGTATTCGTGTTTCATATGATACAAAATTGACTGTTTCCTCTCATTTGCATATTACCAGGGAGCATGCCTTCTCATTGGTTATGCTTTCAGTGGTCCAGGTTTTGTTTCTCTTCAACTAAATGGTTATGTTCTGCTTGTGATTTAGCTCTCTAATTCCAGATTCCTTTTTTTAATAACAGGTATGTTTAAAAGTATTAGAGAAGTCAGCAAGATCACAAGTAACTTCTTTGCTTCTCTTTTTTCAATAAGTTAGTGTTAGTCTTTACTCAATTACTATCTCTAACAACTTTCTCTCCAGGTGACTATTCATGCACATCTGAAGTTCAAAGAGCTATTCCTCTTCTCAAGAACGCGTACGGAGACAGTATGCGAAAAGTCTTGCACGTGGGTCCTGAGACTTGCTCAGTGGTCTCTACTCTGTTGAAGGAAGAAGAGACTGAAGCGTGGGGTGTTGAACCGTACGATGTAGAGGATGCAGACTCTAACTGCAAAAGTCTTTTGCATAAAGGCCTTGTGCGTGTTGCTGACATCAAGTTCCCTCTTCCTTACCGCTCAAAGTCATTTTCTCTTGTCATCGTCTCTGATGCTCTTGATTACCTCTCACCTAAGTATCTGAACAAGACCGTTCCTGAACTTGCTCGGGTTGCTTCAGATGGTCTCCTTCTTTTCGCAGGTAACTAAAAACACACAAGCTTTCAGAAAGTATCCAAAGAGATGTGTATCCATTCTGATTGAACTTAAAACTTTCTTTAATTTTAGGTAATCCTGGTAAGCAAAAGGCTAAAGTCGCAGAGTTGTCGAAGTTTGGACGACCAGTAAGTTCCATATTCTTCTCATGAATGAAACCACACATGTGTTGTTTAGGAACTTTGAAGCAATTTTCACTGTTTTGCAGGCTAAAATGCGAAGCTCGTCGTGGTGGAACCGTTTCTTCTCGCAGACGAATCTAGAGGAAAACGAAGCAGCAAGCAAGAAATTCGAAAAAGCAGCTTCCAAGATTTCATACAAACCAGCTTGTCAAGTCTTCCACCTCAAGCCATTACATTAGAACATTATTGTTATTACTGGTCTTGAAAAGCATCAGACCAGATATGTCTTCTCGTCTCTGTTATATGCCTTTTTCCCTCTATAGAAAGAAACAGAAAGTTCCACAAAATTGTAAACACATTCTCGACTATTTGATTCATAATTTAACTATTTAATAATTTGGCCTGCATTTATTTCATTTAAGTCATAACATTATCATATACTTAAGTTTTATATCAAACAGTTCTAAATATTATTATGTTAGGAGATCATTGTATATATATATCAGTAATGGATATACTCAAATAGACAGTAACAGTAGGGGTTGTGTAACTCATTTTGAGACATTTGAGTGTATCACTGTTTCTAGCATTTAACTGTTTTTGGGCTAAGGTTAGAGAAGGCTAGATGCAACTCTACAAGTCAAGAAAAAGCCTTCTTATAGCTTATTTCAATCTTCCTCATTTGATTTGGTTATATGAGCTAGGCCCAATAATAAGATTCATATGTTAGTAGTTTGTTTGATATGTATCCAGTATGAGAAGTGTAAGAATTACCCACGTTACATTACGCATACTCATACGAACGATACACATATCTGTTGACTTGAGCCTAAACACAGCCTGGAGGCTGGAAATACAGGCCAATCTTATGATATGTATAGCTGCTAAATGAATCATTTTTTAATTTGTATGCAATCTTTAGTAGGCTACAACAACTGAACTATTTGTCCCAAAATATACAAACAAACAAAAATACAGCAAGCATTTTATAAATATGGAAAAGGAGAGGGGAGGGACAAACACAGACTGGTATAAGGACATAAACATAAGTTGAGCATACTGTTTCTTAACTTCGTATCCAATGCTGGTGAGAATTTAGCTAATTTATTACAGACCAACATTTTTGTAGATAAAACTCTCATAAAACATGTAAAAAGTTAACCACACGTTACTGGTATGGTAGTATAGGCTCCTACAATGACTCTTAAGGGTCGCGGGCGGGTTCGAATCTATTGCCATCAGATTATCCTAACGTGTGGCTAAGCAACATGGATATCTAACTCAGAGGCGACCCTTGATAGAAGCAAATGAAACACATGCTTGCGGCCTCAAATATATTAACTATAAAATCGGCCACATTATTCCTAAAAATGTCAATGGTCTATTGGTTTGTTGCCCATTTTACCTATACAAGAGGCTGGGTTCGATTATAATCATGTACATATTTTTTGCTTTAATTTTTTTCAGCCATTTTTATGTTTTGGGCTTGTGGTCTTGAAAATTCTAGGATCGGCTCTGATCTAACTCCCCTTGCGAACAATCGGATCTGACTGACATTGGTGGTCAAATCTCCGGAAAATTAGTCGGGAAGATCTGATTAACGCCGGTGGTTAGATCTCCAAAAAATTAGTCGGTTGGACCATGGCTCTCCAAATATCCCGGATCAATAAAAAAAACATGTAAAAACTTATTAATCTCTATTCATGTTCCAGGATTTTGTTATAACTCTTACTCCCTTACTTTAGTAAACCACATTTTATTTCCTCTAGTATATCAAAGGGTACTCATACAATAGAGACACAACCTCAATTAGACGAGAGAGATCAGCTGGAATGACGAGAGAGATCAGCTGGAATGAAGACTCGATCACCAAACAAAGATACCAAGTCATTTTAGCAAATACAAAATAAAAATAAAAATATGCATAATACATATCAGGTTCTGAATTGTGTCAAATGGACCCACGTTTTCAAAATTTGGAACATGAATAGTGGTTTTTAAGAGAAACAAAAATGGGAAAAAAAAACAAAATCACGATGGTTGTCACTAAATGTTTTTGTTTGATGCAAGGATTTTGGGTGGGTAGGGTATAACCTACACTTTTCACATGCATTCTTAAACCCTATTTCTACTGCATCTCCATGTGCTTCCCCTCACGTCTCTACCTCATCCTCTACGATTTTATAGAAAACATTTAGTAACAATACAAATTTATAATGTTACAAAACAATACAAATGTATACACCATTTGTTATCTAATATCTTGAACGATCTATGATTTTATTTTAAAAAATATTTCCATTTACATACGGCATCAAACTTCACCACATTTTTTTGTTTTTATTAGAAATGTTATGGCTTGTATTTATTAAAACTACATAGTAGGATTTATTTGGCTATAATTGTTTTTTAAAAGGTTTAGCAAGAGTTTACTGTTCTTGTTTTGATTAAAAAAAGAATTGCATCAAAACCAATAGGTGAGAATATACTATCTTAGTTTACAAAAAAAGAATATACTATCTTGGTCATAAAGTATAAATGGTACCAAATTATCAAATCTTTCTTTATTGGGTGCTTTTTATCTTTATCTTTTGCCTTTCTTCTCATAACACACAATAGAAAATATAGCAACTAAACTTTGTATGATAAAAATACTTATACAAGTATGGTGTTTGATTGTTTTTTTTGGTTTTTTTTTATCTTTATTGTTCAAAATACAGAATCTAAAATTGTTCTGTGATGGTTATTAATAATGTGATCGCATCTATGAGTTGATATGATATCTTTTGGTTGTTTCAGAAAATGCAATCAAGATGATGAATGCCGAAATTAATGGCTTCATCACCATCAGTATGATGATTTCACATGCTATTTTCAATGAGTCGTTTTGCATTTTATCATTATTAAGGGTTGTTATTTGAGGACCCTTTTTGGTCGCATCAATCAAATCAAATTGAGCTTTATAAAATCTTGAAAATAATCTGAGAAAATCACAACGTCTCATTAATTATTTAAAAATACAAATTGGTATGTAAATAATATCATTTTTCTGACGTCAACTTTTATTATTTTAGAGAAACAAATATACTCCTAGACTATTACCTACCAAATATTCCAGTTAAGTTAGTTGGTAGTTGGAGTCAAACTCAAATCGGAAAACGTCGCCAAAAAATCTGGGGCATAAACTTATAAACCAACGGCTACCACCACTGGCTTTGATTTCGTCCACCTGATTTTGTTGGTTAATATAACTCAACTGAATTGGTTAAATATTAATTAAATATATTAATCGTTAATCTATGTCCAAATTCATAGATAACTCTTTTTATTATCCATGTTTAAGAGAAATCATTCAAAATATATGATAACATTTTTTTTTGTTCTTCATATTTTAGAATTAATATATTCAGAATGAAAATAGTTTTTTTTTAAAAAAAATCCACATAATATATAGTATTATATACATCTCTGTATGTATATGTATATTCATCATTCCAGTTGGTAGATCTTTTATTTTGTAAAAGTCGTCTTATTTTCCCATGATTATCATCTGGAATCATCATCATTCATTATCGAAGTATATATGCGGATATAATTGGCTCAACATGCACATATAACTCCATGATTTTATTCCAACTGAGAATTTTTTTAATCATCATATTTGTGATAAAACGTCATCCTTTAAGTCGAAAAAACGTCATCATTTATTCCATACTTCTATTGAATTTGAGATCGATGTACTTACATTAGGACATATATCGATCATTGTAATTAGTGTTTTGTGTATTACAAAACTGAAACCATCATGGTAAGTAAAAACTTATATTTGCATGAAAATGATCCCATTGAATAAATAAGTTGACGTAAATGAGTGGAGAAGAGACAAAGAAAAGAAAATTAATGGCGGACCAACACATATGGGACTGCTAGAGTTTAGGGAGCATAATTGGTCCTATTTGACTTACCATCTTACGTATACAAGATCAATCTAGTGAGCCAATACAATTTTTCAAAGCGATTCGATGTCGGTATGGCATTACATTTGATCCTCACTTGTCTTTTTTTTTTTTTCTTTTTTCTTGCATTTCATTTTGCTTGTTTTCCAGTTTTACGTTTACCCTTCATATCTTATTATAAATATTATATAAGTCAAGTGCTGACATTTAGTTTACAAGTTCTGATAAGAAAATATCGTATGATGTCACAACTTTTGAATAAATAGTGATTTCTAATTGCCATGTTTCTAAAGGGGATATTGTCATAACAAGAACGGTCCGGCGGTGACCAAAACGCGTAAAGGCTAATCATTTAACGATACCAAAATACCATTATCTAATATGCCACAACGATATTTTCCATTCTTATCCCGATTAGTTTATAAAACTGTTATTTAATATGCTCAAATCCTAGGAAACGAAAAATAAGCTCAAAATTTGTCATTCAGTTTGTATGTATATAGAATTGGAAGTTTTTGAAAACATTCAAATACTAAGATTTATTGATGTATGTGTGAATGCAATAATAAATAGAAGTTCAATGATGGATCACACATAGTATAAAGCGCTATTTGCAATGTATTCAATAATTATTCTCATCAAATAATAGCTGACTGATTATTAGAGACGTATTAAAATACAATAGAAAAAAGTTGCCTCACATGTCTTAACGAACATTTACTAAAACTACGTAAAAAGTCTCACAGTTTCTGATTATGTTTGTCATCTCTATATATCTATTAACATACCCATTGCTTCTCAAAACATATCTCACTCTTCAGCTTAAACCTAAATTCAAAAGCTTCTTTTCTCTCTATCTCACACTCTTCTGACATTAATCCTCTCTTCGACCAAAAATCTCGTGACCTAAAAATAAAATGAAACAGCTTTCGACAAAAGTGACAAGCAATGGTCATGGACAAGACTCATCCTACTTCTTGGGATGGGAAGAGTACGAGAAGAATCCTTACGATGAGATCAAGAACCCTAACGGGATGATCCAGATGGGTCTTGCTGAAAATCAGCTATGTTTTGATCTGATCGAGTCTTGGTTAGCTAAGAACCAAGACGCAGCTAGTCTCAAGAGGAACGGTCAGTCCATTTTCAGAGAGCTTGCTCTCTTTCAAGACTATCACGGCATGCCTGAATTCAAAAAAGTAAACTTCTTATATTAACCTAATACTTGTATCACAAGCAATGAATCATTGTCTCATTTCTCATGAACACATATTGTTTTTTTATAGGCCATGGCTGAGTTCATGGAGGAGATAAGAGGAAACAGAGTCACGTTCGATCCGAAAAAGATTGTTTTAGCTGCTGGTTCAACCTCTGCAAACGAGACTCTCATGTTTTGTCTCGCTGAGCCTGGCGATGCTTTCCTTTTGCCTACT